TTTGATTTATTATAATTTTTCGTAGTCATTCCTTTAGGAGATGCTCCACTTCAATAAATGCTGTTCGTTCAATCTAAAGACGTATCCACTGACTTTCATTTCCAATTTTGACATTTATGTTAGATGATCTTAAAATTAGATAACTTTCCACATTCATTATACGAGGGTGGATTGATAAGTTTCCGGCCTAACCAAGAGATGACGCCACTAGGCCTACCTTGAGGTGACATTCTATAGTACCATCCTTGGATAGCTTGTAGCTATAGTTTCAGCCCGATCTCCTTGCTAGTGTAGGTTTGACAGCACGCTGAACAAGACGCCTCTGTGGTTTTCGTAAAAATGGAAAAGCAGGAAAATCGTGCTGTCATCAAATACTTTTATTTGAAGGGGTTAACGCCGAAGGAAATTAAAAAAGAGATGGACTCAACACTGGGGACATCCTCCCCGTCATATTCAACCGTTAAGCAGTGGGTTTCCGAGTTTAAAAAGGGTCGTGTGAGCACCTCTGATGGGCCTCGCTCAGGACGCCCCGTTGAGGTCACAACTCCAGATATGATCGAAAAAATTCATCAAATAGTGCTGGGAGACCGCAGATTGAAAGTGCGTGAGATAGCTGAGACCTGTAAGATGTCATATGAACGTGTGCAACATATTTTGCACCAACATTTGCATATGGAAAAGCTCTGTGCAAGATGGGTGCCGCGTTTGCTAACAGTCGACCAAAAATTGATTCGAAAAAACATTTCTACCGCAAATTTGTCATTGTATAAGCGTAATCCAAGCGAATTTTTGCGTCGATTCGTAACCGTTGACGAAACGTGGGTCCACCACTACACTCCTGAAACCAAAGAACAGTCTAAACAGTGGATTGGACCAGGGGAACCAACTCCAAAGAAGGCAAAAACAATTTTTTCGGCGAACAAGGTTATGGCTACTGTTTTTTGGGATGCAAGAGGTATTATATACATTGATTACCTTGCAAAGGGTAATACTATCACTGGTCAATACTACGCAGACTTATTGCAACGTTTGAGCCACGAGGTGAAAATTAAACGACCTCATCTGGCGAAGAAAAAAATCTTGTTTCATCACGATAACGCACCAGCGCACACGTCAATCGTTGCGACGGCTAAAATCAACGATCTAAAGTTTGAATTGATGCCGCACCCTCCTTACTCTCCAGACCTAGCCCCGAGTGACTATTTTCTGTTCCCTAATCTCAAAAAATGGCTTGGCGGTAAGAGATTTGCGGACAATGAAGAAGTAATCGAAGCTGTAAATGGTTATTTTGAGGAGCTTGACGAATCAGTCTATAGAGATGGCATTAATAGACTGGAACACCGCTATGAGAAATGTATCAGCCTTGGAGGAGATTATGTTGAGAAATAAAAAAAAAAAATTTTTAAAAACCTTGTTTTTCTTGGTCAGGCCGGAAACTTATCAATCCACCCTCGTATGTTCGAGTTCTTCTATGAAGATAGTTTTCAGCGAATTACCTTCTGATCTGGCTTCAAATTCTTTTCTCTTTTTGGAAATGTTTTTACTTTATTTGTTAAATTTATTAACTATAGGAATAATTATAATTCCACTTCTCTCCACTCCACTCGAATAAGAGTAGTATAAGTACAGAACAGTTAATAGAGGGCAGGGGTCTAAGAAGTAAAGTTGGTCACTTCTTATGTCCTCTCCATCAACCGCTCCGTTAGACTGAAAACTTTTTACTTTTAATTGTAATTTTTTTTTCAAAGATTCGCTTTTGTAGAAATCAAGAAAAACAAGAATCCCTTTCATGAACCCTTTCAGCACCTTTCTCTTCTCAGGTCGGACAACTGGAGCACAGAGTAGCTTCTCAGGCCAATGTACACCTCATCTTCTTATGGGTGTAAATAATTTCAGTTTTTTTAACGTTCATAATTCAGAGATACGTTCATTTATCTATAGTTCAAAAAATAAAAAATACAAAAATCACAGTTACGACTTAACGCAACAAAAACAGTAGAATTGCGTCAATTGTTATTTTTTCTTTTTTTTATTTTTGTTTTCTATTTGATTTTCTGGCTTTTCGACCGGATGACTAAGTATTTATAACTTACGATTTACATAGGGGATATTTAATAAAGAACGTTGGCAAATCAGAGCGAGAGAGGAAGGGTTGTTGCTTAGCATTAAGAGATATGACAGGGTGGAGGGGTTCTAAGGAAATGTGACGTTCGCAGTTCGCTAATTTTATTTTAATTTTTTTCTTATCTTGGCGGTTAAAATTTTCATTACAATACAAAGCCATTCTTAAAGTACATAAAAGGCTGTTAACAAACATATGTATGTATGTATTTGGATGATAATTTGCAATATTTTTGTTTAATTGCAAAAGAAATCGTTTCTAGGGTTGTTGACTAACAAAAAGGTAAAATTCTGTGTGACGTTTTTTATAGACGACAATTAGAACATAGGTAATTGTAAATGTACATAAATTGTTAGTTTAGTTAAACGTTTCTTTTGCAAGTTGGGAAGACTTATAAAATAAGCAATTTGAGCGTTCTGGTTTAAATTACTCTTACTGAAAATGGTTATGGATTTACCCCCCGAATGTTTGTTAATTGTAAAACGTGACTGTTATCTGTAAAGCCTTATATTTAAATTGTTAGTAAGGTGTAGGCATTTAATGTCAGGTTTTATGCTGTTGTATTCAAGGGGGGGGGGGGTAAAAGATGAAGGGTAGAAATTAATTTTATAATAAATTGGATTAAGTTTTTTATCGGCATTTTGTTTTATTGTTGTTTAATTCTCTGTGCTGTAGGCAGAGGCGGATTAAATGTCAAGAGCGCTCTAGGCTAACACCTCATAGGCGCCCCTCTGGCTGTCATATATTTTGCAAAATACTTTTTTTTTATTAGGTCTTTCCTTATTTTTTTTTAGGTTTAGAACTTTCCGCGCGCCCCTTTTTAACCTTGCGCCCCTAGGCATATGCCTACTTTGTCTTATGGATAATCCGCCGCTGGCTGTAGGGCAGTCTGTAAAAATAAAACTCTTTCACATGACAATATCCCTTTTGACTATTCTTACCTATTCTTAATTTTTGACCATGTTTTCAGTAAAAATTAAAAAAAAAATGTATAACACCAAACAGTTATTTCTTAATCTCTTTAAAATTATTTCTTTTTGTTACATTTCTTGTAAATTGTACATACAAGGTGTTGGTGTGTTTATGGTTTAAAAAGTTGCTTATCGTCAACAGATCTTGTTTAATTATTTTAGCATTTTTCAGATTACGATCACAGAAGTTTTTATGTGTTAGTAGTTAGTTGTGCATAGGTAGTTATTTCTAGATGAGCATATCAATTTACATATACGTATTATTAATGATTTCGAAGTTTATTGATATTGAAGTGTAATAAATATGTATTTATGAGATTTATACAATCAATACTATGTGACGGAAAATACATAGGACAGCACGTAGAGCATACACTGTTTAATAAAAAAGTTGATCATCAAATTTTGCTTTTAATTAATTGGTAAATACAATTCGAACTAAGAAATTTAGGAAACTAGAGGGTGATTGTTTATTAGGGGGAGGGGTAAATGTCTAGATAATGGCCCCCACCCTTGAAGGGGGTTGGGGTGGGTGGGATCGAAAGAGGAGGTCTCCCCCATCACTGTACCATAAAAAGTTCGTGGCGGTCTCACCTCCATAAAAAGTTATGGGGGTT